TAGCTTAAGGATTATTAGGAGTACTCTGTATACTGGAATATAGTTTAATTAGTTAAACTAGAATTCATTTAAGGGTTGACAAATATTAAAGTGATTGGCCTTAGACTAAGAATAGTTTAAGGATACTGTTGAATGACAAATGATGAATATACATGTTGGATGATTGAATAATGAATGTTAAAAATTGAATATTGATTATTGAATATCTGAACTGAACATTATGTGCATGATATCAAATGGTTGATTATGAATTGAGATTCAATTTATGTGGATGTTCGACGCATTAGATATGCTTACTCAGCTTTACCGCTGAGCGTGTAGTGTGTTTTATTTGCTACACGCAGGTCAATAGATTGATGTGACGTGATCCTGGAGGCAGACGGAGGCGAGATAGTCGGAATGGATGTGATGGTTTTGAACGAAAGAATATAAATAAATTATGTTTGTGATTATGATTTGTTAAGCTTCCGCAATATTGAAAACTCTGTACTGTTTATGATATGAAAAATATTATTATGATAAATAAAAGTGTTTGAAAAGTTTTAAATTTTACGATTACCAAGTTAATACTTTAGTCCGAAAGGGGCTGCAGACCTAGACGGATTAGGGTGTTACAATGTGAATTACAAGTCATTCTGAATGATGATATGAAATGGGCACATTCGAGAACCTTATTGATGGAGCATGTCCAGGAGTACTATCGAAAATATATTTTCAAAAGACCTTGTTTCACTTCAAAGCAAAGTGGTGAGTCATGGGTTAAAGAGCTCCTAGATGGTCATGATAGAAGATTTTATAATGCATTTAGAATGGAAAAAGATATATTTCTAAGTTTACTTCATACTTTTGAAAGTACGTACAAACTATGCGGCTCAATTAATATGTCAACAATGGAAGAACTTACAATGTTCCTATACATATTGGGCCATGGAGAGTCAAATAGAGAAATTCAAGAACGCTTTCAAAAGTCTGGTGAAACAATTAGCAGATACTTTAATATGACATTAGAAAGCATTATAAGCATGACATTCTAATGTCATATTAAAGTACCCCAGAGCAAATAATGTCATTAGAAAGCATTAGGAATTGCAATTGGTTCTGATTTCTCATGGGCGATCAGATGGTTGATACAAAGTCAATCTTTAAATTTTTTTTATCAAATTCCATATGTAATCATTTCTAAGAGCTTATTAAGTTTAATTTTTTTAAAAATATAATGTTTAGTTCTTACGTCCTACTAAACTATTACTCTGTTGTTCTATTCTAAAAGTATTAATAAATCATTTTTTTCTTAATGATTCCCTTTAAAAAACACCTATTTTAAAACTTGCTAATCTAAAAATAAAAAAATATAATAACAAATGTAAAAAAATCACCAGAACAATACAAAAAATACTTAAGTTTTAAAATACAAGAGTACATGTTCAATTGGGTAGTTTAGTAATTTACCATGTCTAAGCTTTTTTAAATATGTAAATGCTAAACGATAAAAAATCAAACAACTAATCACTAATTCTTGATGCAAACAATTAAACTTTAATTCTAATCTTTAACTCTAAGCTCTAACGTTTTTTCCAAAGAGATCGTTCTATAGCAAAAGTTGTTTTACCCCGTAACTTTTTTAAGTTTTAACCACTTAAAATTGTCACGACGACATCAAACTGAGTGAAAACGTTGTCACCGTAATCATAGATAGACAAGCGTTAATTACACAACCGTAAATTTTACTCTTCTGTGCCGTCAATCCGAACTTTTATCTCTTTCCGGTTGTTTTCTCTATCCTCCTCCCACCCTTTCCATTTCCTCCCCTCCATTTTACTCGCTTTCTTCGAATTTCACTCCACTCTCCCACTACTCCGTCTCAGATTCCGGCCAACAGTTTCTCTCGGCGCAGATCTGACTCCCGGAGCGGCAGATCGGAGCACCGGTAAGCTCTGTCGAACCGGCCATGGAGGAGGCGTTGGAGTTGGTGCGTGCCAAGGACACTAAGGAGCGGATGGCCGGCGTCGAGCGGCTCCACCAACTTCTGGAAACTTCCAGGAAGAGCCTCTCCTCCTCCGATGTCACTTCGCTCGTAGACGTCTCCATGGATCTCTTGAAAGACAACAACTTTAGGGTTTCTCAGGGAGCCTTACAGGCGCTGGACTCGGCCGCGATCCTCTCTGGCGATCACTTCAAGCTCCACTTCAATGCGCTTGTTCCGGCAGTAGTCGAGCGGTTGGGGGATGCTAAGCAGCCTGTTCGTGATGCCGCCAGGAGATTGCTGCTTACTTTGATGCAGGTGCGCGTGCATGGACACTCCTTCACTCTATAATCACTGTTAATTTGCTCTGCGGAACTTTATTTAAGCCTTTCTCGGATTTGATAGCAATTGTTTGAACTGGTGTGCATACCCCTGGTTTGTGTTGCTTCATTTTGTGTTTGCCCTTTTGTTGGCTACTTGGCTTCTAAATGCACATCCGGATTGGAGGATTGAAGTCGATATTCAATGTCGAGCAACTACTATACAAGCATGTTTTGATGATTGTATGAGAATGTTTTGATGATTGTATGGAAGTTGGCATCTATAGCTGGTGGCAGTATATTCAAGTTTGAGCTGTTCTGCCCACTTCTGAATCATGATCCACTCTTTCGTACTCATTCCTAGTGTGCGTGAGAACAGAGCAAAAAACTGCTTTGCTTTGCAATGATAGCTATCCATTTATCCAATGAATGAGTTTCATCAGTGTTTCACAGTTCTCTCCTTGTTTCCTCTCACGCGTTGGAAAGATAAAGCCACATCATCCTCTACCTACCTTCTGCTTATGGAACATCATTTAGCTGATTAAAGTATTTGACACAATATATAAATGCTTCTGTGTAGATATAGCTAATATATAATATCATAATCCTGATTGCATTGTAACTAAAACCAATAACATTGAATTATTTTTTATGGAGTATATTGATGGACAAATGCATCAAAGGAGATGAAGATATAAAAGTTTATCTGAAGCCTTCACTTATCACAGATAAATGAAAGAATTTTTTTTATGTCGAGTATGCCATTTGGGGTCTAATAAGCCCGTCATGCTCATAAGAAAAAACATCCTTTTCTGCCATGAACTTGAACGTAATCAGGAAACAAGGTACTGAGAGGAATAGTATCACATTTAGATGATGATAAGCGATTGGGCATTTACGGTGCTCATAGGTTAAACTAATATGGAAATTCTAGAGCAGAACACTTGGGTAGGGTATCATTTTTTTTGCAAATGATAATAATTTCACATTGAGATGCTTACATATAAATAGCTGATTTCTTGCATCTTGGACTGTACACATGCACTAGTCAACAATATTATCATTTCTATGTGATTTCTTGCCTTCGTGATTGGCACAAATAGGAATACATTTCTGATTTTGTTTTTCTGTGATTTTATTTTTGACTTTGCTCAAACGTAACTCTAGGTATTAAATACTATCATGGTTACATATGTTTTAGGTTTCTTCACCAACAATAATCGTTGAGAGGGCTGGGTCTTATGCTTGGACTCATAAAAGCTTTAGAGTGCGGGAAGAATTTGCTCGTACTGTGACAGCAGCAATTGGTCTTTTTGCTTCCACAGAACTGCCCCTTCAACGAGCTATTCTTCCTCCTGTATGTTGATATTGCATGTTTTGCTTTATCACTCTATTATACTTATTATTGTTTTGACATCCACATTCATCAACCACTTTTGTACTAATTTCTTTTCAGATTTTACAACTTCTAAGTGATCCTAACCCTGGTGTGAGGGAAGCAGCTACAGCATGTATTGAGGTCATTGAAATGTTTTAACTCTGTTTTTTGTCTATCAATATGGTTGTGGTGGTGGATATGTCTCCACCCTCATGGAAGGGAACACACGTGGTGGTCTTCAATGTATCGCTGCATTATGATCACCAGATGATTCTTAGACAAGACTCTTCACTTCATCAGTATTCAGTCATAATATTATTTTCTTGATTTGGCACATGAACCGATTTTAAACCAATAAATATGCCTTTACCTGTTCCACTTCCTTTTCCTACCAGGAAATGTCTACCCGAGTTGTTCCTCACTTCGCTGAAGAACTTCAGCGTCATAATCTTCCTCCAATGATGGTAGGCCCATGGGACACATTGTCACATTCAATTCATTGTATTTTTTTCTGTGGTGCAAGAAGTTATATTTTAGCTCCATATTTGTTCTGATATGTGAACTAATTGCAGTTAAAAGATATTAATACAAGGCTTGAGAGAATTGAACCCAAGAATCGCCAGGCAGATGGATTCATGAGTAACTATTTGGCTCCTGATTTTAGACCGTCAAGCCACAGTACCAAGAAAAGCAGTCCCAAAGCCAAGTATTCAACGAGGGAGGCATCACTTTTTGGAGGTTAATGCTACAAAATGTTGCAATGGTTATTGTTTTTTTGTTTTTCAACAAAGAAAAATTTGATCGTGACATGGTGTTTTATAGCATTCTCCTAAAATGCCATGTTCTTATTTTTAACTAATGCATTTGTTGTTGATTATTGACATATCAAGTCTTGGAGACTAAGTAGAGGCTATTAAAATTACTTAATCATTTGAACTGTGGAAAGGGTTTATGAAATCGAGAAACTGAGAGGCAGGGATATATTGATTATCACATAATTGACCTTGGCCATAAATTTTCTTTGACATTCTTTTTTTTTGTGTGTAGCAGATGGTGATGTTACAGAAAAAGCAGTTGAACCAATTAAAGTATATTCTGAAAAGGAGCTCATCAGGGAATTTGAAAAGATTGCATCCACCTTTGTACCCGAGAAAGATTGGTCTATTCGAATTGCAGCAATGCAACGAGTAGAAGGGCTTGTACTTGGAGGTTAGTAAGTTGTGACCTACTTGACAGTTTTCAATTCACACACAGACACACACAAAGAGTCAGATTGAGAGAGAGGGAGGGAGGGAGGGAGGAAGTTAAACATCAAAAGTTTGCTTCTATGTAGTTTCTTTAGAGGTTGATCATTTGTAGACGATTTGTGATGAAAACTAGCAGAACTACTCTTTGCTATTATTGCCAATTCAAAGAGTTATTTCGTCCCCACTACCACCACTATACCAACCCAAGGTTGTTATGACTTATGCCGACGAGGTGGAGGCGTCAATAGACCTTCACATTGCCTAATCAATTAGGCGCCCGCCTAAGAGAGAGTTAGGCGACCTATAAGTAAATTATTATAAAGATACACTGTATGTATGTGTGCATGTGAATAGATATTACAAATGTACAATACATTGTTTCAAATTAAATATAATGTAACCACAAACAGAAATGAGTAACAACATTTCTACACAAAAGTTTAAACATATTGAAGAACGGTGAATGCATGTCTCTTTTTTCTGGGTCAGAATTACTAGGGTACAACGAATTTAATTTTACAATGCATAAGCCTATTTTTTTGAGACCTGGGCTGATTAATTAATTGCCCTGGGCTTATTCTAAAAAATGCACACAACACATCTGAAATCTTGCTAGTTATTTTTTGTGGTGCTTTTGTTTATATTTTGCTATTGGTAAATACACATGAAGTGTTTTCAATGCATTTTTATCTCTATCTCTTGATTCTATCAGGTGCAGCTGATTACCCTTGCTTCCGTGGACTGTTAAAGCAACTTGTCGCCCCCCTGAGCACACAATTATCTGATCGGAGGTCCAGTATTGTGAAACAGGTTTAGTAACAATGTGTGAAAATGAATGTTATCCTGTATAATTGTTTTCATACTCACAGTTTATATGTATGTACATGCGAGTGTATGTATGTTTCTATATGTATACACACACACACATGAAAATGACACACACACACACTCTGGTATATTCTCTTAGTTATGACTAGCTTCTAGTTTTCTTATATTGCAAAATATACCTTTAATTTGTATTGTGCAGTAAAATATGCACTTTAAGACACATTCTGTTATATTATGTCCATGCAGACTGTATGTGCTGTTTTTTCATTCTCGCCTGCATGCCATCTGGCATGTGTAGATTCTGTTTTCGAAACCTTTACTCTATGACAATCTAAACTCCTTGCATAATTAATGCTATGTGACTTATTTTCCTCTATATTCCAGTGGAACTTATCTTGCTTGAGCAATTGTCCAAATACATGGTTTTTGGGTTCTGTTTGTAGGCGTGTCATCTACTGAACTTTTTATCAAAAGAGCTTCTGGGAGATTTCGAGACATGTGCTGAGATGTTCATTCCGGTGAGACCTTTTATCGTTGCTGATTGTAATGCTTTCTCATGCATTTTCTGACTAATTTTGAAAATCAGGTCCTTTCCAAACTTGTTGTGTTGACTGTTTCTTGTTATTGCAGGTCCTCTTCAAGCTCGTTGTGATAACTGTTCTTGTTATTGCAGAATCAGCTGATAACTGTATTAAAACGGTAATGGTCCTGTGTAAATTCTTCTCGAATACAAAAACAATTCTCCTTTCCTCAACATTATGTGTAGTTCAATTAATTTATGGTTAATCTGGTCTCAGATGCTACGAAATTGCAAAGTTGCCCGCGTACTTCCTCGGATTGCAGATTGTGCAAAGAATGATCGCAATGCAGTACTTCGTGCTAGGTTTGGTTTTGCTTCTCTCAAGTGTGAAGTGGGATTTTATTTTGAAAATTAGAATTTTAATTCAACCGCAATGTTGTTTTGTTCATCTATTGTAGATGTTGTGAATATGCACTTTTGATACTAGAGCATTGGCCTGATGCACCTGAGATACAACGTTCTGCTGATCTATACGAGGATCTTATAAAATGTTGTGTGGCTGATGCAATGAGTGATGTATGCCCTGCCTCAGCTATCCTGTTTTTATTATATGTCTGTACATGAGTATATCTGCAGACCTTGCAATCTTGCATATTGTTTCTGTAACTTTTTTTTGATTGATTGCAGGTTGTTTTGCTAATGTCCTTCCTATAAGCTACCTCTTTTGTTATTAACTGAACCTTTGTGCTAATACTTTTTAGGTACGATCAACGGCAAGAACCCTGTACAGAATGTTTGCGAAAACTTGGCCAGAACGTTCAAGGCGGTTGTTTTTATCATTCGATGCTGTGATCCAAAGGGTACTTTCTACTTCCCCGAAAATTTCGTCAATATTTCTCAACTTTCAACAGCAATGCATTCTTTAATAGTTCGCAATATAAATCTGAATACAGATAATAAATGAAGAAGATGGTGGTATACACAGGAGACATGCCTCTCCATCTCTTCGGGATAGAAATTCACACACCCTTGCTCCTCCAGCATCTGCTTCATATCTCGCTGGTTATGGAACCTCTGCAATTGTTGCTATGGATAAAAGTGCTACTTTGCCCGCAGGGACTTCCACTTCATCTGGGTTGCTTCTACCGCAGGCAAAACCTGCATCAACTGGCTCTGAACGAAGTCTAGAAAGTGTATTGCATGCAAGTAAACAGAAAGTTTCTGCTATAGAAAGCCTACTAAAAGGCCTGGGCACATCTGAGAAAACTAGGTCATCCAGTTTAGATCTAGGTAATTGTTTTTCTTTCCCTTATTTTATCCCTATTTAAAGATTCTCTCTCTTGATGTATACCTACAAAGTTTGTTAGGTTCTTGCATTACCAAGTTCAAATGTAGCTTTATTATACCTGATTTCATGAAGGGCTTTATTTGGGTGGTTTTGCCCCTAGTGCAGGAGTTGACCCCCCATCTTCGCGTGATCCACCTTACCCACTTGCTGTTCCTGCTTCAAACAGTCTTACACATGCCTTACTAGTAGATACATCATTCAGTATCTCTAAAGGTAATAATCCCAATGGTGGATTGGGTTTGTCTGACATAATAAAGCAGATCAAGACATCTAAAGATTCCACTAAATTGTCATATCATGGTAGCTTGGGAAATGAGCCTATCTCGATGCATTCATCCTACCCAACAAGACGAGTTTCTGAAAAGCAATATGAAAGAGGCTTTACTGAAGAAAATGTTGATGTTAGGGAGGCTAGGAGACACATAAATACACATGCTGACCGACAATTTTTAGATGTGCAATATAGAGAGACTAATTTTAGGGACTCCCACAACCTTGTTCCTCACTTTCAACGGCCTTTGTCGAGAAAAAGTTCAGCAGGACGGATGTCTGCTAGCCGGAGGAGTTTTGACGATAGCCAAATTCCTTCGGGTGATATGACAGGCTTTGTGGATGGACCTTCTTCTCTTACTGATGCATTAAGTGGAGGGCTTAGTTCAACTTCTGATTGGAATGCCCGAGTTGCTGCTTTCAACTATGTTCATTCTTTGTTACAGCAAGGGCCTAGAGGTATTCAAGAAATCATTCAGAGTTTTGAGAAGGTGATGAAGTTGTTCTACCAGCACCTTGATGACCCCCATCATAAAGTTGCCCAAGCAGCACTCTCAACACTTGCAGAGCTTATTCCATCTTGCAAAAAACCATTTGAAAGTTACATAGAGAGGATCTTGCCCCGTGTTTTCTCACGCTTAATTGATCCAAAGGAACTAGTCAGGCAATCTTGCTCTACTACTCTGGATATTGTTGCAAAAACATATGTTATAGAGTCACTTTTACCTGCTTTGCTTCGTTCTCTGGATGAACAACGTTCTCCGAAGGCAAAATTGGCAGTTATAGAATTTGCCATTGGTTCTTTTAATAGCCATCATTCAAGTTCTGAAGGTTCTTTTAACATTGGCATTCTTAAGTTATGGCTTGCGAAATTGACACCCTTGGTCCACGATAAGAACACAAAACTAAAGGAAGCTTCTATAACTTGCATTGTTTCTGTTTATACACACTTCGATTCAACAGCTATTTTGAATTTTATTCTTAGCTTATCCGTCGAGGAGCAAAATTCCTTGAGACGAGCCCTTAAGCAGTATACTCCTCGCATTGAAGTTGATTTGATGAATTTTATCCAGAACAAGAAAGAGAGGCAGCGTTCCAAGACTTCATATGATCCATCTGATGTTATTGGAACATCTTCAGAAGAAGGATATATTGGATCTTCAAAGAAGAGTAATCTGTTTGGAAGGTATTCTGGTGGTTCAGTTGACAGTGATGGTGGCAGAAGGTGGAACTCTCCTCATGATTCAACCTATGTCATGGGCTCTACTGGTCTCCCGCCATCTGATGATACTCAGGATAATTATGAGAACACGGAAACTAGTTCCAATGCCACTATTCCTATTGCTAAGGACACAATGCCCAAATATCGAACAAATGTTGCAAATGAAACTGTTGGAGTAATTACTAAACACCTAGAAACAGATGAAATTGATTCTACCACAGAATCCATTTCAACTCATCTGGACATCAACGGGCTAGTTGATTCAGACCATCACCAGAACACTGCAGGCCATGGCACTGGTAGAGGGCCTTTACCTGATTTATCATTCAGTTATCCAAGATTAGCAACACTGAAGATGGATTCAGCCCCAGAAACTGGACCTAGTATCCCTCAGATTCTTCACACGGTGAGTTTTATGAAGTCAATCCATCATCCTACTTCATTCAGATGTCAACTTCTGTTATTACTCTTTCTGATTGATAAGCATTTTATTTCATCCTATGATCCGAGGAAACCTCATGAAATACAACTTGGTTTTCTAATTTTGGTAGATTTGCAATGGGAATGATGGAACTCCTACCGAGAAAAAGTGTGCTGCACTGGAACAGTTGGTTGATTTTTCTGTTAGCAATGATAATTTGATTTGGAATAAGGTATCATTGCTATCAAAATCAATTCTGAAAGATTAATCATCCACAGTACTAAAAGATCATTATTGTTTGATGTTTTAAGATGAGATTTAAGGAGTAGTTGTAGAAATCTAGTTCAAAATGTTTCTTTTGACAAAAAGTTTTAGAAATTTATCTGCATATGAAAATAACATGTTATCATTTGTTGGTGCAGTATTTCAATCAGATTTTAACAGCTATACTGGAGGTTTTAAGTGATTCTGAACCATCCATACGTGAACATGCTCTGTCACTGATAGTTGAAATGTTGAAGAATCAGGTATGTTGTCTCCATTCGATGACACTTTTTTCTTCTTTGGACAAAAACAGCTTTGCTTACTTGGTCTATATGCCTATTTCAGAAAGTTGCCATGGAGGATTCGGTAGAGATTGTAATTGAAAAACTGGTTCATGTCACCAAGGATGCTGTTCCCAAAGTAATCTTTTTATGGTTCATACGGTCATACCTTGCAATACTCTGTCACTGCAGTCTTCATAAATGCCTTATTGATGTGTGATGTCAATCAATTCCTGGTTCAGGTAGCGAATGAAGCAGAACATTGTTTGACAATTGTGTTGTCTCAATATGACCCATTCAGATGTTTAAGTGTGAGTGATTTTTATGTTAGTTTATATTTTGGTTGTCAAGATTGATCCCCTAATTTTGCTTCCATCCATTTTTTCCCTTTTGCATGGTCCTTATAGTTTCTAGTATGACAGGTTGTTGTTCCTGCTCTAGTTACTGAAGACGAAAAGATTCTTGTAACGTGCATAAACTGTCTGACAAAGGTTACTATTTTCCCTTGTGCTTCGTCACCTGTTTAGAAAATTTATATGTAGTAATATCCTTCCTCTTTAATCCAATGCAATTATGACCAATGACTTCATAAGGAATTCATCTTTTTAAAGAAAGGCTTAAGCTCAACGCGGCTATTGCCAACTTCTTGCCCGGTTATCTGAAGTTATAATATAAATACCTTTTTTTATTGCAGCTTGTGGGCAGGCTCTCACAAGAAGAGCTTATGACTCAATTGCCGTCTTTCTTGCCCTCCTTGTTTGATGCATTTGGGAATCAAAGTGCTGACGTTCGCAAGGTAACAATTAATTTTGTGCATTCATTACTTGTTCTACTCAAAGTGGTATCTTCGTTGTTTAATTGTGTACCTATCCTTGTGTTTTTTCTCTGACTAGTATTTCCTTTGTATTTATCTTCCCCGTTTAGAAACTTCTCATTAGGGGAATTTCGATTGCGTAATTTTTTGGAAGCTCCGTTTGATTGGTCTATTATTATATATATACATACACTTTTGGTGGCAGACTGTGGTATTTTGTTTAGTTGACATATACATCATGCTGGGGAAAGCATTTTTGCCATATTTGGAAGGCCTGAACAGTACACAGCTGAGGTTGGTGACAATCTACGCAAATCGGATATCACAAGCAAGGACTGGAACGCCGATAGATGGCTCCTCCCAAAGTTAAGACGATACGCGGTGGTGAGATTAAAAGATTGGGCGGTGTGAGTTGGAATTTCTCATCTGGTTTGGTTATGTACATTTGTGTGAATGCGCGTTTTGAGGGCGGTTTCAAGTTGTATTCTTCTTTGTCATGTAATTTTTTTCTTATTTTTTGTTTGTTTGATCCAATTGAATCAAGGTAGAGGAGTGTGTAGTTGGAGAATGTGGTTTCGGTGAGAGGATGCAGTTGTTGTATACACTTTGTGCCCATTGTTATAATGAAAGTTTACATTTTGTTTCTTTGCTCAGAACTGTACAATTTTCCGCCATAACAACAACAATAATACTCTGTAATAATAATAATAATAATAATACTCTATAATAATAATAATAATCATCATCATGATGATGATGATCTACAAGTTTTGACTTTACTCTTATTATGGTTTAATGCTTTAATAATCATCAATATATTAATGTCTCATTAAGTCAATTTTTGTTTGGTGGATTAAGGCTATTTTTTTGTTTATTACTTATTCTTATTATAATCAAATCAGATCAGATCAAAAATAGCTTTATTTGTTACTGCAATCAGATTAGACCAGATCAGATCTTCAAAAAATTAGATCAGATCAAATAAGGCGAACGGAACGCAGCCTAACTTTCATGAGTTGTAAAATTTTATTTTTCAACCTACGCAGATTCCAATATAATTCGTACTACCTCCGTCCCAAAGTATTTGTCCACTTTCATTTTTACACACCATCCAATGCACTTCTTTAATCTTTTTTATCTTGTAATTTGTATATTAAAAAATTATAGAAATTATATATTAATAATCTATATGTTAAGACAAATCAAACAAGATCATACATGACTATATTTCGGCTTACACATTGAGAGAATTTGATGAGTCAAAGTGCTTAGATAAACAGTTCCAAAAGTCAAAACTGGACGAATACTCCGGGACGGAGGGAGTATATTAGTTCAAAATAACCAATGCTCACTTCGTCTCTATTTGAATTTCAGTTTACGCCTTAAAAACTATGAGCGAGATTATTTTTAATTTAGTTTATTTGAATATCACTATAAGATTTAAAACTAAATTTATAAATCTATAAACTACATTAACATTTCTGCGAAAGATGTGATATAACTATTTTATTAGAATTAATTTGGTTTTCGGTGAGGAAATTAAATTCGAGGTTTCAAGATTGAGCAACGGTAGGAGCAATGTGAGAATTTCATCGAATGTGGTGACTCGTATGCACCAATTGCAAGATGACTTCTCTGAAAAACATACTAAGATTATATTGTGATTTATCTATTATTGGAGTTCGGCACCTGGGTGAACGTTCTACCGAAGTAAAAAATACCCCCTCTTTCCCATTACCACATTACAATTCTAGCCTTCCGATAACTTTTACTCTCATAATTGCACGATTTTACATAGATACTTCGAGATTCAATAAATGATACCGATACTCCTAGAGTTTTCACAGCACTCCTAAAATTGATATACGTTTATATCTTTGTTCCAAGTATTGGGACACCGATGTAAACTATGTCATTGTTAGAGTACTGATGTAAACACATGAAAATTCTAAAACATCAATGTCATCCGTTAAATCTTGAAATATTTATATAAAATAAAAAAGTTTAGGAGTTGACTAGTAATTCTATAAATGTTTCCTCGACTATTTAATAAAATTAAGAGTAAATTCCATAAAAGGTCCCCAGTTATAGGTCGCTTTACATATTTAATCCCTACATATCAAATATTACTTATTTAGTCCTTAATTATTATATTCATTTCTACCAATGGTCCTTTGTTAGCATTTCCGATAAAAACATAGATAAAATTGTAAATTCACTACTTTCTCTCCTCAATTAAGTTTCCTCTTTCGTTTCGTACTCTTTCTCAAACTCGTCGCTGAGTTTGAAGCTCCAAACCCAAAACTGAAATGATCACTCCTCTCTAAAATCAAAACCAATAAGCTTTATTGATGAGTTTTATCAGTTAGTCTAAAGAAATTGCAAAAAAAATAAACATTAAAACTCATCCATGAAGATTACTGGTTTCAAATTTGGGTTCCATCAGTTCGACAAACAATTGAGAGAAGAGTGATAATTTCAAACTTGGGTTCAAAGCTTCAAACTCATCGACGGGTTTGGGAAATGGGTGCGAGGGGAGGGAAGAAGCTTAATTGAGGAGAGAAAAAAGTGTGAATTTATAATTTTATCCACATTCTTGACGGAAATGTTAAAAAAGGACTGTTCGTGAAAATGAATATAATAATTGGGGACTAAATAAGTAATATTTGATATGTAAGGACTAAATATGTAAAACGACCTATAATTGGGGACCTTTTACGGAATTTACTCTAAAATTAAATATTTATTATTCCGGACCCAAAGGTTATGTACTTTGGGTGTATTTATTATTCCGGACCCAAAGGTTATGTACTTTGGGTGGAAGATTTAACTAGCAGTGGTAATCCCTGGGTGACTGCAGAATATTTGAGAAGAGATGTGGAAGGGGTTATATGCCCCATCACCCCCAGCTTAATTTTTATACTCTGTGGCTCTGTAACCATACACGAGAGACATATAATGTCACCCATCCATAACTATTATCATCCAACGCCACTAACGCTCAAAAGGCAATCAAACTCCCCTCTCCTCTATGTTCTTCTCTTCTCTTCTCTGTAGTTTTTAGTTGCAGAGCGGTGAATCTGAGAAAACTCCCGGCAGCTCTCAATCTTGATGAGTTTTGACAGGAATTGATTTTTGCGGATTCGATTCTGCTGGCTTTTTGGAATTCCGGCGTCCATGAATCACTGCGTTCCCAATTTCGACATGGATGAGGACTTCAATGATCTTCCTCCCACCGCTTCTTCTTCTGGTTCGGCCAGACACAATAGCAAAAAGTCTGCAATGTGAGTGTTTCTGTTCTTCTTCTTCTCTCTGGCTATGGCTTTCTGATTGATTTCTCAGGGAAAGGTTTGATTTGAATATTTGATCTGTTTTATGTATTTTAGGGCTGAAGAGGATATCATGGAGCTTCTATGGCAGAACGGTCAAGTTGTTATGCAGACTCAAAATCAGAGATCTTTTCCGAAATCGAACTTCGATGCCGCAGCGGTTCGGGCGGAGCAGCCTGTGATTCGCCCGCCGGGAGAGGGAACCGCGGCGGCGGCGGCGGACCACCATGTGTTTTTGGAGGAGGACGAGATGGCGTCTTGGCTTCACTATCCTCTCCACGAACAGGCCTTTGACGGCCGCGATCTCTACTCGGATCTCCTTTATCCGCCTGCAGCTTCGTGCGCTCCCGGGACCGCCGCCATTCACGCGCGGGAAATCCGCCCCGCGGCGGGAGAGGAGATCCGTCAGCCGCCGATCCAGATGCGGGCGAAATGCGCCGAGATTCAAGACGCGCCGCCGCGCATCCAGAACTTCGGCCACTTTTCGCGGCTGAGCAGGGGGAGGATCGAACCCGGGCCGTCGAGTTCGAGCAAGGCGCCAATCGAATCTACGATCGTGGACTCGTGCGAGACCCCGCAGTTTTCTCGCGCGAACGTGCGGCGCGGGAACGGGAGGGTCGCCGGGGCCACCGCACAGCCGTCGGCGGGCGTAAGGGAAGAATCGGTGACGTGCGAGCAAACGGTGACGTCATCTCCCGGCGGTTCGGAAGACAGCGGCAGCGCGGAGCCGTCACAAAATCCGGAGCTGGTTTCCTGGAAGCGCAAACAAAGAGATGTGGATGAGATGGAGGGCCACAGTGAGGTAATTAAGCCGCTAATACTCTCCTCCTTTTCGCTTGACATTTTCATTCTTTGACTTTTTCATAAAAAAATTTACGGAGTATTATTTCCACCTTGACCGATGATTATCTAAAAATAAGATATGACTGAAATATACTCTCTCCGTCCCAAAAAGAATTTTTTATTTTGATTAATGTGCAAAATTCTGTATTTTTTAAAATTATTTTATTTATAAATTGGTAAAGAAAATACAAAAAAAACTATATTTAAAAACTACATCGAAAACTCTACAAAATAAGAGGTGACAAGAATATTTTATTTTATCAAATGATCAATGAAAACATACAAATAAATAAGAGTTATCGAGAGGCCGTAATAGTAAACAGGAAAGACTTTTTAGAACGGAGGGGGTACTTACTTCCTTTCCAAATTAAAAACTCATAGTTTGACTTTGGATAAAGTTTAAGAAAAGTGAAATTATATGGTTGAAAGTGATGTCGATGAAAGAAAGAAAAAGTGAATCACAAAAAATTTTTCAAAAAAGAAAAGTGGAATTTTAATTTGGGACAATCCAAAAAGAAAAGAAGGAAGATTAATTTCGGACAATCCAAAAAGAAAAGAAGGAAGATTAATTTGGGACAATCCAAAAATTTCTCAATATAAGACCATATGTTTTAAATTCCCAATGAAGGACCACTGGTCATTATCCATTAGTCATTATTTAAGTGAATGTCCACCATCACTAGATATTATTTCTCACACTAGACATTATCCAAGTATTATTTAGGAAATAAAAAAGTTTAAGTCATACATTGGAAAATGACTTATGTTTTAATACTATTTATTGCAAATTTTTCATTTAATACATTAAAATTACATTGTAAATTAACCAAATAATTTTATGTTTACCTTATAATTGAATATATATTTTTCACAATTTGCCGTTAAAGTTTATATAGTTTGATAAAAAAAGTCAAATGTAAAGATTATATTGTGGCCAAGGAATATAGTTTATAAGTAACATAAAAAATTTTCAATTACAAAAAACAATCGCATAAGTTGAATAAACCTACTTCTACCCCAAAGATTGTATCCCAAAAGTTTATACTTACATTTTGTGTAAATGTAAGTGCGACATTGATGGCTTAGAGTGTCACAAAATGTTAGTGTGGAATTTTGCGATCATGTTGACATTTTGTGTCAATATAAGCCATCAAAATGTGAATATAAATTTTTAGGATATGTTTAGAGGCACAATATTTGGGATACACCTAGCATGGTTGATATTTTTTAGTGGTTAGATTCAATTCTCCTTATCCTTTATGCTAGGCCAACAAAAAATGCATATGAAAATATCAATGAATAATATATTTCTTGAATAAAATACTCAAAGTGATTACAAGGATTTAATTTATACAAGAATTATGTTACGAGGACACCAAGAATTTAACACTACTTGCATACCAAACATATCACAGACACACAGACAATAATTTCTATGCACACACAGATAATTGTTCGTGAGAAGCTTGGTGTGTGAAAACGATGTTAAACTCTTGAAGTTTCCGTTTATACAAGGGTATGAAGAAGATTTATATTCTACTTAATTCCTACATAATCACATGAGATGTTACAACCTATAAAAGAAAATGGAGAATTAAAAACATCAAATATGAAAAATATATAATGATGAAATATTAAGAAAATTTTAAGTAATATTCTCGATTACACGCCCCCACAAGATAGAGCGAGGATCTACCCAGAAATCACTTGGCAAAGCTATGTTTAGGTAGAGGGGTTTTGTGAGAAGACCTCCATGTTGTCGAGTAGACGGGACATGATGAATAATTATGCGGCCAACAAAAACTAGATCCCTTACAAAAATAATAAGTGAAATTTGCACTGAATAGGACTAAGACATAAGTCATTTCCCAATGTAGGACTTAAACTTTTTTATTCCCTAAATATGACTTAATAATGACTAGTGAAAAAATAATGTCCAAGTGATGCTGAACATTTAGTTGAATAATGACTAATAGCTAATGACCAATGGTCCTACATTGGAAAATAAAAACATATGGTCCTATATTGAGAAAGTCATTATGTTTTAGTCATATTTAGGTAAATTACTCAAATAATAATCCAGTGCAAGGTACTTTTTTTGATAGTAAAAAAATGGGATTTTTACAATTGTAGACAATATTGAGATTCTCGCACGCAAGGGTTGGCAGGCTATAGAGGGGCTGTCGAAGTTCATGTAGCAGATTATTGGCCATAGAACATTGAACCATATTAAAAGATTCAATTGAACCGGTTATCAATTGAACCCGTTATTTAGTTCAACTCAAGAGCTTATAAACTGATTATTTTTTTTCTTCAACATCCAATGTGGAATTCTTTTCACACTCCTCCTCAAGTGGGCAACGAGATCATTTTAAACCTAATCGGTTGAGTACTTGCAAATAGATTCTCACCCCCTTGTTTTCTTACCACCAACAACTAAAGGACCGCGAGCCGCTGAGTATGAACAAGGACCGCGAGCCGCTGAGTATGAACTTTCAGACGAGCAATCAGGTTAAACAGGCCACAAGTCGTTAGATGTGCATTCCACACGGACAATTAGACTAAAGACTACGACCCCTAGGAATGAACGTCTAGACAGACACCCTAACAAAAGAGGTGGGCTAAAACTAACTCTGATATCGTTGTAGAATTTTTGATAAGGTAGAGATGACTGGACCAAGCCATAAACATGTGGGCTAAACCATATTAAAAGATTGAATTTAATTGAACCACATTAAAAGACATGTGGAGATTAATGATACATTTTTAAAAGTTCTCGAGAAAATTGTGTACTTTATGAAGAGTTCAAAGATGAATAATCTTTTTAGGATTGTGAGATGAAAGGGTTAGCGGGCAAGGGAGGGAATTGACAAAAACGAGGGTCATTTTCGTTGGACAGGCTTTGTTTTAATTTGTACGGAGTAGTGATAGAACTAGCATTAGTGTATGGATGTGGTTGGACACACACTTGACACGTATATAGTTGTCTGGGTTGAAGTTCAGTGGCACCTACCTTGTTGGGACTTTAGCAATTGCGCATTTGGAGCTGAAAATGATGGATAATGGAGGAAAGGGTGCAAAACTCCATTCCTGAAATTCATATGGTAACAAAAGTAATAAAAAAAACGTAAAAAGAGATAAATTAAAGGGTACTATTTGAAGCTCAAAATTTTGAGAGTAGACCAAGGTGCACAAGGGCTGCACGACATGTAGTGACACTGTGACAATACACTCGATTTTCAGGTTTCTCAGAATCGGTCAGACGGTCATCTGAGATTCTAAGAAGAGATAAGTTTTAATCAGATATTGGTGGTAATTGGAGGAACCTGCACCTGATACATTGCAGAGACTCTATGTTTATCATAATTTCTTGACTTGCCTTAGTGTACCATGGATCTGTGATGGGAGCGCAAATTAAGGTCAAACTTTATGGTCTTAATAAGTCTTTTACAATAAGTCTTTTACAATAATTCCACAGTCTACATAACATGAAATAAAGTAAATTTAAAATTACATTAACCAAATAAAATTTTCAAAGTGGGGCTTAGATTTTGTGAGGTTTGTAACTTGGGCTTAGGTTTTTTGAGGTCATATATTTAATTTTTAAAATATAAACTCCGGATATCCCGTGGATATCAAAAATCAAAATTTCATTCCATGTCTAATCTGGTTTTTTCCCGAGTATTGGATTCGAAATATCCAAAACCTATAATAATGGATCCGTTACCCATTTTCTTAATCGGATTGGCCTGGATCATAGGGATATGTTTTGAATAAGATATATTTGAACACCTCTAATAAAAAAACGTTTTCTAGAATCTACAATAAAAAACTTGAGCTTGTAGTTGAGTTGGTTCATTAGCAAGGTATCTAAGTCTTGTTAACCTAGACCGTACGAGTTCAAACATCATCACCACCCAATTTTTAAAACTTTATGTTCACGTGCAAGAGAAAATATTCACTTGTTACTTGTTAGAGACCGTGAAAAAGCAAATAAAAGTGGTTTTATATAGGGTGGGAGTAGTGGAGTACTATGTTATATAATGTAGTGTATTCCAACACTTAGAGCTCACTTTACACATTTGCTAATTCCCCCTTATAAATGGAATTCTCCTACATATATGTAGGACATGGACTTAGAGTCGCTTGATACAAAGAAGGAAGGCCGTAGTGGTTGTGCTTCAACAAAGCGATCTCGGGCTGCGCAGGTCCACAATCTCTCAGAAAGGGTATATTATGTTTTCCACCATTGTTTTGTTGTTGTTGTTGTTGTTTATCGTCTCATGTATGGTCTATAACCAATTTTCAATGCATGGTAAGTGCAGAGGCGTCGAGATCGGATCAATGAAAAGATGAAGGCCTTGCAGGAACTCATACCCCGTTGCACCAAGGTCTTTGTTTCATTGAAACCTTAGTGTTATTTTTTTCTGCCTTTGCATATTGGGAGACCATTTTATAGCTGATTTATGTACGTACTTTTGATCATGTTCATTTCCTCTTTTTGGAGGGGCGTTTATTTCAGTCAGACAAAGCTTCAATGTTGGATGATGCAATTGAATACCTGAAATCATTACAATTGCAAGTGCAGGTATGTGATAGCTAGACATAAATATACAAATGAATTTTCTGTTCTCTTTTAGTCAAGTAACCAACTCAACGCAAATATTAATTTCTTAAAACTATGTGAGAGATTGACAGTGAGATTTGAACTCGTGATCTCTTAGTCATCAAGACTCTTGATATCATGTGACATAACTAACTCAACCAAAAACTCAAGCTTGTGGATGTAGGCCCAGAAAAGATTATACACTTCGTCTAACACTTTTAACTGCAACCAAATGATGCTTTTCTTTTCTCTCATAATATATCAGATGATGACTATGGGATGTGGCATGGTCCCTATGATGTACAATGCAAGTATGCAGCAGTTTATGCAAACCGGGACAATGGGTATGAACATGATGGGGATGTGCGGCATGAATCGCCCTCCTATGGTTCCTCCACCATATCCACCACCACCACCACCACTCATACCTTCAAGTTCATCAATGCCATCACCAAATCCAGCTGCAGCAGCACAGATGAACCCCACAAGGTTTCCCATCTCACCACCATTCCCATTTCCTGTACCTGATCCATCTTCTAGGCTTCATGCGCCGAACCAATCAGGCTCTGTCCTAACCCCACTTGTCTCCCGCATTCCTAACCAGCAACAAATACCAAATTTTGCAGATCCATATAAACAACTTCTTGGCTTTCACCAGCCACAGGTCACTTTGCCACTGGTAAGTTACACATTGCCTAATTTGTGAAACTTCACATTTATTTATGCCCCCTTTATACTTCTCACTAGAGCTCCCATTTTTGACATCTTTATTTGTTTTTTTCCTTTATCTAAACTTTGTTATTGCTAGTGTGTTTACTTTGTCTGTGTTTGTGTTTGAGCTGGGGTAAGGTCTCGAGTAGGAGTAACACCTTCCACAAAGACCCTGCTTTTTGAGTTTTTGGGAGTTTCTACGGAGTTTGTTGTTTTTTACCTTTTGTTTTTCATTCTAACCCCAGAATCAGACAGTGGAGCATCCTATTAACAACAAGCCAAGTAGCATCAAAGATGTTGGGAATCATCAATCTTAACTTGTAAGTTTCCTGTTATAGACACTCTTAATTCTCGGCCTCGGGCTTGAACTAACTTTGTGTGTTTGAATTTTTAGTAAAAAATAGGGCCCTTTTGTAAGTGCCAATTTTTAAGGCTGTATAATTATGACTATTTGACATGTTAAGAAAATTTTTTCTTATGTATAAACAGATATACTAAAAATCAAACTAAAGCAATATGGAGTCAACCTTAATCTTGACAACAATTTTGATACATAAGAAGTACTCCGTATTATCTAAGTTGAAAATTAAAGATTGACTAAAACACATTTTCTCACAAGATCTTTCTTACACTATGTTTGATTCTAAAATTTTGGAAGAAAAAAAAAGAAAATGATTTTCTGTCATTTTCCTCACCAAAACGAGAGGAATTTGGTTTTTCCTTCACTTAGTACATTTTCCTTCTCATTTTTCTTTTCCTTAGCACTTTTCCTCTCCAACCAAACTTGAAAAAGTATTTTTCACTTCATTTTCTTTTCTCTTACCTTTCAAATTCCTTGAACCAAACATAGTGTAGATTTTTTCCCGGCTATATTTGGTCAAAAATGAAAACCTAGGCTACTTTGTTGACATATTTTGATGAAAATTATAATTTTTGTGTATTTATGAAAATGTTTTTAGCAATGATCATTTTTATATTATTTTCATACTATGAGTTATTCTAAAATTTATTAGTGGTACGACGCGCTTGACTGCATTCAACGATGAAAAATCTTAACTAGGCAAAAGAGTATTTCTTGTTTTAAAAAAATACAAGATGTGTGTTGGCCGTGGAGCAATGACAAAAAACACAATTGTTTGAAAAAATTATAATTTTTTCGTCTCAAATTAGATTACACAATTTAAAAAACGTGCAAAACCTCATGTTTTTAAATTTAATTTATTTACAAATTGGTACGGAAATAAAAAATATATTCCATAACTTACATACATCAAAAGTTCTACAAAATAAACAGTGATAAGAATATTTTATTTTATCAATGGTCAATTAAAACAAATAAAAGTTATGGTGTGACCTGAATAGTAAGTGTGTAAACTATTTTGAGTTACACCTATGTAAAATTAAGATTCAAGGGTAGTGAAAAACATTTAGAACTACCTAAAACCTTTTTGTAGTCTATAAATAGGAAAAAAATACTCCTTCCGTTCTAAATTAAATTGTATGTTTACTGTTGACATGGTCAAACTTCATTCACTTTTTTTCTCTATTTTAATTAGTCATTTGATAAAATAAAATAGTCATGTCATTGCTAGTATTTTAATATGTAGTTTTTATTTTTTTAATTCTACACCATTTTTTATGTAAAATGATTTGAAATTAATTTTAGTCAAATTTCGTAAACTGAAACATGGAATATAAATTGGAACCTGGAGTAGTAAATTGAGAAGGGCTAAAAAAGAAAAGCATATACCCACAGAGTTCTCTTCTAAATGTCGGCGGATAACTTTTTTATATATTAAAATATAAATGAATGTGATCGTAAATTATATCCACATTCAATTCATATCAAAAGAGTTGGACAGACAATTAATAGAGAATGAAGTTAGGATACTTCTTGGTGTACAACAAAATTGACACTAAAAAAGAAATTACATACAAAAACTATTTTGGTTTAAAGTTGGTGCAGTGCTAAGTCATGAAGTTATTTTATTATGCTCCAGTTCCTTGTAGGCCATCACTGGCATTTTAAAAAGGAGCCATATATATATTACTAGGAGAAAATTTAGTGATAAAAAAGACACGTAGATCGAGGAGGAATGATAAAGATAATGATAAGATTGAAAAAAACAACGGAGTAATACTCGTACTCTATTTAACTCATAACTTTCATTAAATTTTAAAAAAAATGTACGTCAAAAAATGAAAAATGTGTGATTAAAAGAGTTGAAAAAAAAAAAGAAATATTGTGATCCGTGAGTCGTTTGATGGTACAACCATAGAAAATTATATGTTCACAAATGAAAAATAAATTGTTCACAAAAATAGATGATGTGTGCTCTTAGTGGATGTTTAATACGGAGTATTTTTTTAAAATCGGAAGTATAATTTTTATTGAACACCATGTTCTTTTTTCTTAAAATGAAATGAGACATTTATTTGAGTCAAATAAAAATATAAAGTGAGTGACTTATTTATCTTCATAGAAATAAGAGTGTATTTATATTAATATTATATTTATATTTATATTTATCTTCACATTAACACCTGATGCTCGGCAGGTTGCCGATTTGTGAGAAGATCATTTATGGGAATCTCATCCAACCAAATTTTGTAGAGTAAGAGAGGCAATATAATAATTGTGAATGCAGCCTATATTTGGTGGCCAACGGCTAACATGTAACTATTTCTTTTACTCCCTATAAACAAAGTTGCATTTGTTTTTTTTTACTGATTTTGGTTCGATTACAATGTAATATCTGTTCATATTTTTCTACTTGTTGACGCAGAGTCGGGCGGTCTTCCCTTCCACTGTGACTCGAACCTAAGTGAACTTCTTCGTAAATCTTGAGGTGTGAGCTTCTACGACTAAGGCTAAGGGAGAGGTTCTGTTCATTATATTCATGGTGGGTTTCAATACAATCTACGACTCATGGTGATAGAGAAGTTCAAGTTGCAATTGTTCATTCATTGTGGATTTTAATACAATCTTTACCGTACCATCTTTGATGTTTTGTGTATATTAGCATGATTTTAGTTACCTTATCATAGAAATTCTTTTCTTTACAAATAAAGTACATGTACTGTTATGGATAATAGAGTATGATATTTATTATTATTATTATTATTATTATTATTATTATTATTATTATTATCATTATTATTATTATTATTATTATTATTATTATTATTAATGTAACTTAGGTTTTATTAGGTGAGCGGAATTATAAGCTCCTTCGAGGTTTCTTTACGGTTCTTTCCCTCGTCGCTTTTATTGAACCGTCAGGTTAGCGTTAGGGTTTCCTTCTTCCCTATATAAGGAGATGTAACCCCCTTTAGAGTAAAGCAATCAATAAACAAATTACAAACCCTAATTCCCTTCCTCCTCGGTTCGCCGATTCTCTCCTTTGCCTCAATTCTTCTTCTTCTTCCTCGTCCCATATTCTCAAGAGCTCGAAGACGCTCTGAGTCTTCCCTATCGGATACGAGTTCGTATCATGTACTTATAATACTAATTTGATATCTGATGTTCATGTTGAAACACAAATCAAAATGCTTTGACGTATCTGGTCTGACCTACGTGGTATATCTTGAGCAGTTTGAGGTTCAATTGCTTGATCTCTTTGCTCATGTTCCAACACTATCGGGACTTCTTCTTGTGGTTCTCGAATTTCTTTGAGGTCTACCTTTCTCCCACTAGTGATAGCAGAAAGAAACTCCTTCTCAAGGAAGGTTCCATTCCGAGCAACAAAAATTTTGTTATCGGATGGATGATAGAACTCATACCCTCTAGTTTCCTTGGGGTATCCCACAAAAATTACTTTATCAGATTTAGGCTCCAACTTACTATACATCATGAGACGTTTTACATAAGCTTCACAGCCCCAAATCTTAAAGTACGAGAAACTTGGTTTTCTCCCACGCCATAGTTCGTATGGTGTGCTCTTGACAGCTTTAGATGGAACTCTGTTGAGTGTGTGTGCTGCTGTTTTCAATGCATATCCCCAAAATGATTCTGGAAATGTTGTCAGACTAATCATGCTCCAGACCATGTCTAGCAAAGTCCAATTTCTCCTCTCAGACACTCCATTTAACTGAGGTGTCCCCGGAGGAGTGAGTTGGGATAAGATCCCATGCTCTTTCAGATAGTCATCGAACTCCAAGCTTAAGTATTCACCTCCTCGATCCGAGCGGAGGGTCTTAATACTTTTGCCTAATTATTTTTCTACTTCGTTCTTGAATTCTTTGAATTTGTCAAAGCATTCTGATTTGTCTTTCATGAGCTACACATATCCATATCTACTAAGGTCGTCAGTAAATGTAACGAAGTAAGAATAACCACCTCTAGCTACAGTGCTAATTGGACCACAGACATCGGAGTGTATGAGGCCCAATAAGTCACTCGCGCTTTCACCGTGACCGGTGAATGGAGCCTTTGTCATTTTACCAAGTAAACAAGATTTACATACATCATATGACTGGAAGTCAAATGAATCAAGTACACCGGAACGATGTAACTTAGATATGCGTTTCTCGTTAATGTGGCCCAAACGACAATGCTAAAGGTACGCGAGATTCAAACTGTTAGGTTTGTTTCTCTTAACATCTACGTTATATACTGCGGTATCCATGTCGAGGACTAGAATACTGAAAAGGAAGGCAAACTTGTTTGCCTAACTGACATGCATGTCATAGACTATCTAATGAGATTTATTTAAACTATATAAGGAAAAAGAGACGCCATGGAGAACAGCAGGGCTTGGGTGTCCAAGATGGCGGTGCCATGTGGAGAGGTCGACTTTAGCTAGGTGAAGGTGTGCTGGCGGATGGTCTTGAGAGAGCAGGTAGAGATGCCCGTCACTACTGGATCGATGAATCACGGCTCCCGTCCATTTGTCCTTCACAAAAAAAACTAGATGAGTCAAATTCAACGCAACAGTTGTTACCACGAGTAAATTGATGGACAGAAATATGGTTGTGGATAATGTGTGGGGAGACAAAGACATTTTTCAGGGAAAGGGGAGAGTTTGTGTTATGGAGACCGTTACCAGAGGTCGTAGTGCATACTCTAGATCTGTTACCTACAATAATATGAGAGGGTGATTAAATGTTTAAAGGAAATACATGAGATAAAGTACATGGGTCAGCGGTGATGTGGTGAGAAGCTCCAGTGTCCAATAACCAGGTCGGGTGGGAGTTCAGGCTTAGGTTTTTTAGAGTGTGGGCAAGGGCAGTGGGTGAGTTAGGGTTTGGGTAAGGGTTCGGGTAAGGTTGGGTTGGGGATGTGGATAAGGGTTTGGGTTGTGTGTGGGGAGGTTCGGGTAGGGGGCTGGGTAAAAGTGCTGGGGGGTAGTACGAGTAAGGGTTTGGGTTTGGGCCATATGCGACTGGGCTAGGTAGGTTGGGTAGGAGGGGTGGGGGCGTGGGCTAG